AGGATAAGGGGAAGGTGGTGGGAGAATAAGGGGAAACGATCACAAGGATCAATCTAGAACCCCCTCCCAAGGAGACAAATAATGGAAAAGTGGTTGTGGGGTGATGGAGGACAATGTAAGATATGGTAAAAATGATCTATAACTTATCAAGGGCTCATGAGGGAGGCTAGGTGGGTGGGGGAGGGAGAAGAAATAGGGAGCTGATATCAGGGGCTCAAGTGGGAAGAGAATGATTTGAAAATGATGATGGTGGCATATGTGCAAATGTGCTTGACACACTGGAAGAGTGTATGGATTGTGATCAGAGATGTAAGAGCCCGCAGTAAAGGAATATATAAAAAAAATTCTACTTCACCTAATTAACAAAGGTAGATTTATATATACTGTTATGAAGTAGAGAAAATAGATGTTTTATAAAAGGGTTAAGATTAATTGCAGAGACATTAATTTACACTAGAAAATGCAATAAAATATAATATACGAATGAAAAGTGCTAAGCAATTGTTATATTCTACCAATAATAAACATTCAAAAGATAAAGTAAACATAACTAGTTTTAAGCTTATGTCAATGCCATAGTATGTCTTCAGTTTCAAATTATCTTTGGCATGTAGAAATATATGACAGAAAAGTCAAAGAACCATTTCAAGTTTTAGAAAATTTCATTTTGCTAATATGAAGTCAGAAAATATAAAGAGATTTACAATAGGCAAATAACATGCTACATACCTCTTTCGTTCCTCTTTCAGTGAGTGCCACGGCGTATAAAAATAGTAATGTCAAGTAATAGCCAATGTTAATATGGTGTGCCTACAAAAGAAGCAAATATGTATTTAATAGGTTATGTAGACTACACTACTTTGGGGGATAGCAAGCTTAATTAAATTTTCTAGGCCTAAACAATAATTTTTTTTTAAATGACAGTCTTTTATGTTATCAGTTATCTAAGAATAACTAGAAAATGCCTTGTAGGTGGATTTGATATGTGACCAAGGAAGGAGAAAAACGCATAGTTGTTAATGTAGAAATAAAACATTAGAATTTGACTACAGAAACTAAAGGAAATACCATTTAAATCTGTTAGATTAAGCCTTTCAAAATTATCATTCTCTCACATGACTTAATATCTTAAGTAACAAAAACTTTAGATAGTACTATAACGAATGTTTAAATAATCCTCACCAGTTTTAAAAGCTATGGTTAACTATTAAATTTAAAAGTTTTATTCTCCATACATGGATTTTGTTATAACAGTCTAATCATACAGCTTACAAATTCTTTTTAAAAATTAAAAATGCTTGGATATGCCCTGCATAAAAATTATCTATACAAAGTTAGAGATGAAGAACAGCCTATAAATTCACTGCCATCGAGTCAATGATGACTCACAGTGACCTGACAGGACTGGGTGGATCTGCCCCTGAGTTTCCAAGGCTGTAACTCTTTCTGAGAGTAGAAAGCCCCGTCCTTCTCCAGAGCAGCCAGCTGGTGGTTTCAAAGCGCTGACCAGTTAGCAGCCCAACTCTTAACCAGGACACCACCAGGGCTCACCAGGAGAATAGACTAGGGCTCAGGACGTGGAGGGAGAAGGTAGATATGGCTATTAAGGAATTATATAAAAGAGATTTTATGGCAATGAAATAATTTTTATCGTGATTACAGTGATGGTTACGTAAAGATACAAGTGACAAAATAACAAAGAACTATACATGTCGGTGCAGGAAAAATAGCATAATTGGCCTCATGAGACTACAGTCCTTTAGAAAGGTCAACCTCAAAGGTACCTGCTTGGTTAGGCCTTGGGAACTCAGATTTTGGAAGTATTCTCACTGCTCCTTGACAAGGATGGCTCACGCCAAGACTATTCTTGCAAACAATGTGGTTTATACTAAACATCTACATTTATTTTAAAATATGAAATTTGGATATCTTTCAGGCAGAGGGTACCTAAGTGACTGAAAAATAAACCTAAACTCATTGTGTTCCAGTCAATTCAGAGACCCTATAGGGCAGAGCAGAACTCTGTCCCTAAGGTGTCCAATTTTATTAACCTGTATAGACTTGGACTGCTCTATCTTTCTCCCTTGTAGCAGCTGGTGCGTTGAAATGCCAACCTTTCCATTAGCACTGAGCACTTAAGCACTGCACAACCAGGGCAAAAGTTTTGGCCACTTAGACTTTAATGGGCTTTCCTGGACCTGAACATTTCTGCATATTTGCTTCATATTTCACTGCTGCATATTTCACTGCTGGAAAAACAAAACAAAAAACCTGCATACTGTGTGACCCCTCTCAAGAAGGACAGAGTATAAGAAACCCTAGACATGAATTCTTCCAGACTCACCCGGGTCTTTTTCCCTTATGATCTGGCTGTTTATCTGTACATTATAACCAATCTTAATCATGAGTAGAGCACATTCTAAGTCCTTTGTGTACTAAAGTGATACTCGCAACACTCTGATAATTTCCACGTTCTGTTAGATCCCTTTTCCTTGGAGTGGGCCAAATATGGATATCTTACTGCTGATTGGCCAGGACGGTGCTTTCAAAGTAACTTGCCTAGATGAAGGAACACCTCAAGCACTGAAACTGTTGCAAGATTTCAATTGGGATCCCATCAATTCCTGCAACCTTGATTTTTGCTAATGCCTTCCGCGTAGCCTGGACTTCTTACTACTTCCCGAAGTGGTTAAGCTGACTAATTATTTTTAACATAGTGCTTCTGTGTATACTTTCATTTTGATTCTGCATTGTTCAATATTTTACACAGAGGACCTTTTAACTTTAATTTGTATTTGTATATGTCATTCCCTAGTAACTCCCTGCGCTTGTTCGGACTAATGATATCAAGTTTCTCCATCTTCTTTTTCCACCAGAGTAGTCAATTTTATTCCTAAACATTTGAACTGATGGGGTCCATGCGTATAGTTGCCTTTTATGTTGTTTTAAAAGAGTACTTGTAATAAGGAAATCATTGGTATTGCAAAATTCTGTCAGTTTCCAGTTTTTATCATCAAGGCCATATCTTCCAACTACTGATCCTCCCTCTGTTTCATCCTTTCACTTTATTTCCAAATACCAGTAATTATCAATGTATCATTTATCAATTTATCAACTGCATGTTTGATCAACTTCAGATTGCAAGGTTTAAATAAATAATATCTTTATCTTTGGCAGTAGTGATAAGTTTGTAAATCTGAATAATGGTTGTATTATTTGTTCTTACTTATAGGTATGTGGATATTATCCAATCACTGAACATGCTTTTCTTGAAATGTCCCTTTTAGCCATCAATGTGACAGCATTGCTCTCCAGTTTGATATTCCTGGCATAGTAGACCATGTTGCCCAATTGTCTGTAAGTGCCTGGTTCAAAACAGTCAATACCAATTGATTCCAGCTCACTAATGCCTAGGATACCAATCTTTATGCATTCCATCTGATTCAACAAAATATGGAAATTATCAAACAATAGCACACAGAACTAAAATTGTGCTAAAGACAGTTCAAAAATGATTGCAGCAGTACATCTGCAAGGAACAGCCAGAAAGCCAAGCAGACTTCAAAACAGGACATGGAACAAGGGATATCATTGCTGATGCCATCAAAGGGATCTTGACTGGAAGCAGAGAATATCAGAAAGATGATTACCAATACATCATTAACTATGCAAAGGCATTCAACTGTGTTCCAGAACAAAACATTACCCAATCCTGTGGCATCCTTACAATTATTGCTAGGCTTCAGCCCATTGTTTGACCCACTATGTCAATCCATCTTCTTGACTGTCTTCCTCTTTTGCTCTGACTTATCTTCTATTTGGTCTCTCCCGATAAAATGCCCAAAGAATGTGCGAGATCTTTCCACCTTTACTTCTAAGGAGGACTCTGGCTGCACTTCTTCCAAGACAGATTTCTATGTTCTTCTGGAATTCCACAGTTCTTTCAACATTCTTCACGAACACCATAATTCAAATGCATCAAATCTACTTCGTCTTTATTTATTGTGAAGATCATTACAAATTATGGAATACATAAGGAATGGGAATTCTAGAACACTGAATTGGGCTCACGTTGAACCTGTACAGAGACCGAGAGGTAGTTGTTCAAACAGAGCAAGGGTATAGTGCATCATTTTAAATCAGGAAAGATGTGCCCAGGGCTGTATCATTTTCCCATACTTATCCCATCTGTATGCTGAGCAAATAAACTAAGAGGTTGAACTATTGACAAAGAAAGTATCATCAGGATTGTGGGAATACTCATTAACAACCTGTGAGATACAGATGGCCCAACCTTGCTTGCTGGATGTGAAGAGGACTTGAAGCACTTTCTGATGAAGAAAAATCTTTTTGTGTGAATTACATCTCAATTTAAGAAAACAGGAGTCATCACAACGGGGCCAATAGCAGAATACAGTAAATGACGAAAAGATAGGTGTTGTTAAGGATTTCATTTTACTTGGAACTGAAAACAAAGCTGATAGGTGCACAGTTAGGGGGCATCAAATGCACGCTGTCTTTTGCAGCAGATTTACATCTTTAAACTGTTAAAAATCAAAGATGGCATTTTGAAGATGAAACTTCCCCTGACTCAAGAGAAAGTTAGACAATGAATAAAAAAGATCACAGAGGAATTAACACAATTGAACTACAGTGTTGAAAAAGAATAGTAAATATACCATGGTCAGAATAGTAAACCAATCTGTCTTGGAAGAAGTATAGCCAGATGGGTTGACAGTGGCTACAACAACGGACTTCAACATTGGGACATTTGTGAGGGTACTGTAGGATAAGGCCAGTCCATTCTGCTGCATGACTTAGGACCTACATGACAACAGCTAGCACAATAACAACACGAGTACTAGTAAATCTCAAACACAGGGCTAGTCTTACTGAAGCCCACACAACAATAAATGTACCCATGTCGATTTCTTAATTTTTGATATTGTACTTTAATTAAATAGCAATTAGGGGAAACTCGGTAAAAGGTACACAGAATTTTTCTGTATTATTTTTGCAAGGTCTTTTGAGTCTTTATCTCAAAGTGAAAATTTCAAAAACAGTTTATGTAGAAAACTTCGCCCATTGCATTCATGAGCTCTATACTTATGGAAGATTACAGCCATATCTTTTGTCATGTTAATTTTCTTCATTGATATTGTTCCACACCATCAGCAAAATGCTGGTTGGTATAAAATAATAGCAAACATTTACTGGACATAGACTTATTTTTACATTAATCTCACTATATTCTCTCACCTATAACACTTCTTATGGCTAAGAGTATGCTTTTATAAGTGACTGGTGTTGGCTAGGAAAGATTAACAAGTGTGTTTGTATTCGCTGGGCTAAATGAATTTACCAACACAAACTCTCCTGTGATATCTAATTGGTTTTCAATTTAAAAATCCCCCTCTCTATAGAAGGAATATAATCTGAGGGGACTTGAAAACTATGCAGAAAAATGGAATTAAAAGATAATGGATTTTCCATGAATTTTTTGAGGCTCCCTCTGATCATGATTCAGAACATAGGCGCTGAAGCTACAAGGGTTTTTATCCTGAATCCACTACTTTACTATCTGCTGAATTTAGGTATATTTTTTTCTGTACTTCAGTTTTATTACCTATAAAATAGGAAAAAATAAGGTGGGGTACTTACGAAGAGTAATTGACCTAATCTTGCAAAATCCTTAAAACTGCCTGATAGATACTCTGACTCACTGCCATCAAGTCCACTTCAACCCTTTAGTACAAAGCGAGTTTCCGAGGCTGTAAATCTTTATAGGAGCAGAAATCCTCATTTCTCCTGTGGCATTGCTGGCTAGTTCAAACTGCTGACTCGTACTTAAGAGCACAACGTGTTACCCGGTATGTCACCAGGGTTCCTTGACTATCATATAGAAAGCCCTAGATAAGCACTGGGAGCACTGTGGGCTAGCTAATGGACTGCTAACTCCAAGGTAGGCTGGCGGTTCAAACCCACCAGCTAGTCCATGGGAGAAAGATGAGACTGTCTGCTAGATCTAGTGTCTCGGAAACCTTACAGGGAGTTGTTCTATCAGGTTGCTGTGAATTGGAACTGACTCTATGGCAGTGTGGGGTTTTTACTGTTGTTGTTATTACTTTATGACTTTTTAAAGAGCACTTTCATAAAGAACCCAACAGTCCTTGGATCGTGCAATTCTACATAAAAATATGATTTTTCAAACACGATAAGATATAGACATGTGGTATAAAAGCAGACAGCAAGAATTTAAAGGTAAAAATGGTTCATTTCTAGTCTAAAATCAATTTCTTTTCCTTCTCCACATTAGTAGAGACTGTTCCAAGTGACAGAACCCAGTGGATATAAAGATGCTACTGGCAATTCCACTGTCTCCTCCTCCTTTGTCTCCTCCTCCTTTATGGCCGTAAGAAACAGGGAGAACCACTTACACACAGAAGTAGGCTGTTTTCATCACCACCACCCAATTCTGCTCACAGTGCTAACAAGAAAAGAACTGCTTCCATGCCCTCATCGAAAACTCATCTTTAAAGTAATGTCTAAATCACAAAGCCTATGGAATGGGGATCTGTTCATGGCAATTTAATACTGATTGTCTCACTGGTTGGCAACTGGGTCAATGGGTGGAATAACAGGCCTGAGCATCCCAGATGTTCTCAGAACTACATGATGCAAACTCCCTTTCCTTTGTGCTTTCTTTTGATTCTACTCAAGTTTCTATCCAGAAACCCTTTTAGGGTAGTGTACATGATCACCTCCCTCTTAGTACCCTCTTAGTACCTGGTCCTGGGACCACTAAATAAAGATTATTCTCCTACTCTACTTTTCATCAGTACAAGGGTACCTTTTTAGTGTCGGGGCAGTGGTTCTTTCCTGTAGATAATAACCCTAACACTAGACAGCTTTCGTCTCGGTGTAGGAAAAGAGATAGTTCTACCCTGTCCTATAGGGTCAATATGAGTTGGAGCCAACTCAATGGCAGTGATCTTTGAGTTTAACAGTTTACAGAAGTTTCAATTTTCATAAATATAAAACTACTAGAGGAAAGAGACGTTGGTTAAGAATTAGGGAGAAATAGGGGTAATCTTTGAAGTTCATAACTCTCCATTTCCTACTTGAGAAAGTCCCTTCCTATACTAATTCAAGTTTTTCTGTTCTTGGGATGAACAATTTTGTAGTAGGGAAGGAGATTGGAATAGATCTACACAGAGAGGCTGTCACTTAAGTAGAACACGCAGGAGGGCAATCATGGAATTCCTTTTCGCTTAAGGTAAAAGAAGGAGCCCTGGTGGTATGGTGCATTTGAGTTGGGCTGCTAAACACAAAGTCAACAGTTCAAACCCACCAGCCACTCCATGGGAGATAAATCTTTCGAGTCCTACAAAGATGTACAGCTACCCTGTCCTATAGGGTCAGTATGAGCCAGAATGAATTCAATGGCCGTGAGTTTGAGTTTGTAGGAGAATTAAATGTTTACAAAAGGTCACTGGTAAACATGCAATGGCTATTCTTCCTTGAAAACTATTATCCAACTTCATTATTTCAAACGTTGTGAAAGAAAAGACTTACCATGTAATCTGTAACTTGAATGTCCTTCAGTGCTACTTCTAGCTGTGTTATCAAGATGTTTAAAGTCAACGGAGGAGCACTTCCTGCCGCTTTCTGACTGCTAGCTACATCTCTCTGTGGAAAATAATTTAGTTAAAAATTTAAGTTGGGAAAAACACCTGTACTTTTATTATATAAATCATGTTTATCAGACAACATTTTAAGAGATGAAAACAACTTTAAAAATAAAACTCACAATGTCCAGATAGTCTGCTAAGTTTTCTTTATAACTATTTTATGAAAATATTGAAAACCACTCCCATGGCTGCCAAGAGATTTGTACTATCCATTCCTAATTCTCACTTAATTCTCTCACCTTCTATTCACTAGCACCAAGCCTTGAGTTTGAAGCAAACAGGAATAATGACATTAATATGAACACCAGATCGTGCCATCTAAGGCTGCAATGTGACTGGATTAAGCCAATATACGACTGTGTTCTATAACTTGCTAGTTACATAGATGTAAAGAAAGGAGGGATTATGTCTTATCTTTTGATGCATTCTCTAATGCCACGTACCCACAAATGCTCAGAGCACATTTATTGAATTCAATTGGTATACATCACATCATCTGTTAAATAATATTTTTACCTGTGAAAAATTCAGAAAAAAAAAAAAAATTCAGTCTACACTTTCCTACTCAAAGGCTAATTATGCAAGTTTTATTTCAGTCTCTCTGGCATTCAATCTAATGAACTTCTTTTCTATTATCACAATTCCTAGATACAGTAATTGTGGTAAAATATATGTAACAGCATTGTGCAATTCAGTGATGTGAATTATCTCTACCATATTATGCCAAGGTTTATTCTAAACAAAATATGTTTCCACCCTCTCTACAATCAGTGAGCGACTCCAGACAGGTTCTATCAGTAAGAGAATCGTTCTCATCTCGTTACCAGCCTCACGCACTCACTTCGACTCCATGTATCCTTGAAGCAACCGTATAGAACAAGGGGACTGTTCCTATGGGTTTCCAAAACTGTACTTCTTTGTGGGAGGTGAAAGCCCCTTCTTTCTCCCAAATTAGTCTCATTAGGATGCTTTCAAAAAAGAATCCAATCAAAACAGTGGCATTCCAGGGTATCTGCTGAATCTGGTAAATTCAGGGCAGAGAGGCCACCTCAGAAGGTTATGATAACTATTTGTGGGGACCCAAAAGGAGTCATATCTTGATAGATGTTCTTAAAGGACACAGGGTGATCATAGGGGTTTATTGGGAGAAATTTTAAGAAAAGGGAAAATAGCATTCTGTGAACACGGCTGGGAAAGTTCAACTTGGGATTTATGGTTTTTCCTACATGACAACACACCTGCTTATTCTGAGTTCTGCCCCTTCAGACTCTTTTTGTTCCCTAAACTCAAAGGACAATTAAAAGAAATACGATTTTCTTCCCTACAGAGTGCATAACCCTTCAGGGATGGTTAAAGGTGGAAGCACCACCGTCAGAAATAGGTAGAACTAATGAAGGAGATGTAGTGGAATCATAATTTCATAGTTATATTTTTGTTCAATATTGTTTTTATGATCTTGCAGTAATGCTTTCGTGACTCTTGAGTTTGAATAGGCACGTAAAACTTAACCCTAAAGTTCCACTTCAATCAGTAATTGTCGGATTATCATTTCCAACAACTTAAAAAGTTATGTAAAACACATTTGTTTGGAAGCCCTGGAAAGCTACCAAAATAATGAAAAACGATGGGGCCAAGAAGCAGGTTAGTTCAGAATGACTTTTAGAGCCATTTTTCTCTTTAAGGTACTTGCCATCTTCAGTTGTGGCTGCCTAGAGGCTGGGAAGCTAGACAAAGCTCTCAGCAGATTCATGCATACCTCATGCTTCCAGTTGAAACCCTGAAGAAATACGCCCTCAGAGTCAGGGTGTCTCATTAGATGCCTTTGGAAACAGATTCAGCTGGGAGAATTTGAACGAAATGTGTTTATCGGTGAACAATGGCAGGGAGTTGGAAATGTGATCAAGGAAGGAGAGCAGTCTCTAAATTTAAAGGGCATGTAATTAAGCTAGATACCCCGAGTGGGCAACTGGAGTTCATACCACAGGAAACTGAAAAATCATGAATAAAACATGACAGTACTACCCACCTGAAATGGAGAGGGAGCTCGGATGCTTCTATACCAGCTCCTCCGGCTTACTGAGAGATCTAAGTGGGGAGAGTGAATTGCTTCGGACTCTGGACTACTATGCATTTAAGAAGTAATTAAACTCAGCCCACGGCTGTTCAGTCAATTCCTACACATACCAACCCTACAGGTCAAAAGTAAAACTGCCTCATAGGGTTTCCAAAGCTGTACGTCTTTACAGAAGCTGACTGCAACGGCTGATAGGTTTGAAATGCCGACTTTCTGGCTAACAGCCAAGTGCTTTCACACTGAGTCATCAGGATAGAGCCTGCTTTGAATTTTTTCTTTGAAACAGCCTTGAAGCATAAAAATACAGATGAACTACATCTGTTTTGCCATTAAATCAGTTCCAACTCATAGTGACCCCCTGTGGGGTTTCTGAGGCTATAAATCTTTACTGGAGCAGATACCCTCCTCTTTCCCCCAAGAAGCAGCTGATGGGTTTGAACCCCTGATGCTGCTCACAGTCCAATGCTTACCCAACAATACCATCAGGGCTCTTTACAGATGTAGAAATTAAAAAGTGGATGCTCTCCAGAAATTAAATTAGAAATTAAAAAGCGGATGTTCTCCAGAGAGGAGTAAAACGAGAGGACCCAAGGGATGTGTGTAAGCACTGACAGCATCGCCCTCAAATGGTAAACCAGAAATAGATCTTTCTCCCTGAAGAGACTGAAGCTTGGAACAATCTCAATCCATGATGGAATTAAAGATTTTTGTCCAGTCTTACCACTTCTTTTCAATGGAAGAGTGTAATAAAACAATCCAGGCTAACATCGCCTGTAGCAGAATTCTCTCAGGTCTTTTCAAGAACAATAGGATTTGTATTAAAGATTCCTTGTCCATTCATGATGTTAGTTACTTATTACTGTTTTTTTTTTCTTAAATATTCTTGGAATTTGTCAGTGTTAATAGTCTTTTCAAAGATCAGGTTTTAGCTTTGTTGACTCTGCTTTATTCTATTTCCTTAGTTTTAGCTCTCATTATTACTGCCTTCTTTCAATTTCCCCTAACTGCCTTCTTCTTCTCCTAATATATGTATTTCAAGCTATAAATTTTCATCCAAGCACAATTTTACCTAATAACATGTTTTGTTTTATTTTTCATTTAGTTCAAGATTTTATCTAATTTTCATTCTGATTTTTATTTTGGTTGATAAATTATCTAGATTAGAGGCATATGAGTACATATTAACTTCCAAACAAATAATTTTCCAATGATCCTGACTTCTAAATTAATTAGATAGTTAGAAAACATATTCTGTGCATTGTGAGCCTTTGAAATTTGATGAATCTTGCTTTGTAGAATACATATAGTCTATATTTGTAAATGTTACATGTACATTTGAAAAGAATATGTATTTTGTTAAGTTCGGTGCTCTACAGCCGTGGTGGCACAGTGAGTTACACATTGTGCTGCTAATGGCAAAGTTGGCAGCCTGAACCTGCCAGTCACTCCAAGGGACAAAGACAAGGCTGTCTACTACATTAGAGATTTTAGGGGCAGTTCTACTTTGTACTACAGGGTCACTATGAGTAAGAATTGATTGATGGCAGATTTGTTTGGGTTTTATTGATGTCAATTAGGACAAGTAACGATAGAGTTCTACTCATTGTGTCGTCTTCTATCAGATAGTAACAAAGGTACCTTAAAATCTCCCACTAAGATGACTAATTTGTCCATTTCTTCTTTAGTACTGTCATTTTTATCACACATAAAATGTCTGTAAGAACTTGGTTCTATTTCTGGAATGTGTTTTTCTAGTCTGGAAACATTTCTCTGGAGTTAGGAACAAGTAACATCTGCTAAATGATAAATAATGCATAAATCACATCAGTTAAGGTTATCCTTACATCTAAGGTCTTATTTATGTTTTGGGGTCTTATTTATGGTTAAAAAGTTTTAACCGTAACAGTATTAATTTGCTTCATGAAAATAATAAAATCTGTAACCAAAAAGGCAAATGTGGCTCTTTCAAATTATCCACCAGTTCGTTTTCTGTAAAGGTTAATCAATGCCATCGAGTTGATTCCGATTCATAGTGACTCTATGGAACACACTGAAATGGTCTCATAACGTTTCCAAGACTGTAAACCTTTATGGAAGCAGGCGGGCACATCTTTCTCCCGCGGAGGGGCTGATGGCGTCGAACGGTCCCCAACTGGCGAACAGCCCAGCATATAACCAATGGCACAGCAGAGCTCCTGCTGTGGAAGCCTGTGACTTAGTTCCGCTCTCTTCCATATTGTCACTACGAATAGCAATCAACTTGACAGCAAAGGGTTTGGAGTTTGGGTTTGGTACTTTGACCCGCCACTCCTTCAGTTAAATACACAGAGAAAAGAGTGTCTTTTTTTTTTTAACTTTAGAAAATAACATTAAGAAATGATATTCATCTTATGCTGAAATGATTAGAAATTATCAAGCAATACTATATTTAAGATGGGAAATCTACAACATATTCTCTAATATTTTACTTATAAATCCCCTAATTTTACATATTATTTTCTTTTAACATTTTTGAAAATTTGTCAGCATTTAAAAAGTTAGGAAACCAAAAGCAGTCCCCTATCCCAGAATGACCTGCTTTATGTTATTAATAAAATTGGAGTAAACCCCAGCCCTTCTTGCTCACAGCACACAAGGTACAAACCCACTAAACCCACTGCCATCAAGTAGATGCCAACTTACAGCAACAGGTACCCCGTGCTACCGTTAATCCTGAGGCCCAGAGCCAACGACTTCTCTCTGACGAACAAAGCGCAGTTAAGGTTGACCCCAAAGAAGTAAGAAATAAACCTAGATTTTGAGACCTTACATGTAAGGTTATGGAATTGAATATTAAGAAAGCTATACTTGTGCCTCAAAGAATAAATTATGATCTTACCTGCATAATTGGGAAGGAAAAATCTTCTTGTAAAAACTTCTTAATGTGCAGAACCACTCCTTTTGGTAAAGCATTAATGGTATTCAATAACCTCTTCATTTCTAATAGCAGGTTCATAGAGACAAGATCGGTAGCTGTATCCTCTTCCAGTTTGTCCTAAATGACATAATCATTAACAATTTACATAATTACATATATTCTGATTTATAAGAAAGTAACAAAATACATACTATGTAGCGATCACTATAACAGAACTACAGAAAATCTAAATAAGACATACACTGCTCCTGTTTTCAATGTACAACACAGCAGGAAATTTACAGTCAAAACCCAGTTTGTTTTATTGAAAGTTTGGCCCTACCTCCAATCTTCATTGTTTGCTTAAATATTTTCCAGTCACTCAAATTTTTAACCAGCAGAAGTCAAAAATTCTCATCTAAATGTATTCTCATCTAAAAAGCTGCCCTATGAAAATATACTTTCCTTTTCTCAACAGTATTTTAAATTCTATACTATTAGCTAAATTAATCATACTATGAATAGAATTACCATTTGCCCAGGGATTATTTATATTTCCCAATAAAATAGTTATGATTTCGCTAAAGTGAACTATAGACATATAAAACCATACACACACATGAGAGGGTACCCCCCCAATGGAATTTGTTTTCAAAGCTATGTAAATTTTTTTACAAAACAACCTTATCACCTTCAAAATATTCTCCATTACACTTAATACTTTGTCAAATCTGTGATTCCATTCTTGGAAATATATTCAAAACTCATCTGTTTGGATGGTTGGCAGAACATCCCTTGTTTTTTTATTCACTTCTTCTACATCATCAAATCACTGTCCTTTCATGTCCCTCTTCACTCATGGGGGGGGGGAGAATCACAAGGAGCAAGGTCAGATGAATAAGGTGTGTGGGGGCAATAGAGGCATGCTGTTTTTTGCCCAAAACTGGCACACTGAGATGGCTGCGTGAGCAGGCGCATTGTTGTGGCGGCAAAACCAGTCTCTCATCTGCCACAAATCAGGCCTTTTTTGCCGCATACTCTCCTTTTCAGAGCCTCTAAATGGAAAGCTGGATTAACGTCTGAACTGGTGGAACCAACTCCAAAGGCACTGTTCCTCTCACATCAAAAAAACAAATGAGCATCGTCTTGATCTTTGATTTCACTTGATGAGCTTCTGGGGGGCAAGGTGAAGATGGTGTCTTCCACTGACTTAATTGATGTTTATTTTCAGGGTCTTAAAAATAATACCTTGTCTCCTCACCAGTAATGATTTTGGAAAAAACATCTGAGTCGCTTCAGAGCTGTCCTTATCAAGCACGGCATGCTTCCATTCCATGCTCCTTTCTGGTCAGTCCGAAGCTGAGGCACAAAATTCCGCAGCGACCTTTCTCATCCCAAATCTTGTTAAAATTCACTGACCCGAGCTCCAAGACAGTCCCGCTAACTTCCCCATCTCCTCAATGGTCCAGGGTTAGTCTTCAAGCACAAGTGCATGAATTTTGACATTTCCATCTGTTCAGGAAGTTGACAGAAGCCCAGAACAAGGTTTGTCATAAATCGACATTTCACCTCTTTTGAAACAAGAAAACTACTCATACACTTGAAGTTTTCCGATAGCACTCTCCTTGTAAGCTGTGTTCAACATCACAACAGTTTCTGCAGCATTTTTCCCGAGCAGGAAACAAAATGTCACAGCTGCAGGCTGTTCTCTGAAAAGAGGCCATCACAAAAGATGAGGTTTGAGCAAAACTGCTTTTACAGAAAAATTCACTGTAATCAGAGAGAACCTTCCCAGGTGACGCCACTGGGAACAGTAACTCAGAGCGAGTTGCTCAATGCTTGCCAAGCAGGAAAAAAAATGCATAATGACAGCTCCACCCAGTGGAGCTTTTTTCCATTTTGGGGGGGAGATATCCCATCGTGTATTTATGTTTATATATGTTAGGTAGGAAAAGGCAGGGACAAGGGGGTTGTCCCTCTCCATGGCTGAAGGCCCCCTACAGGAGGTTGGAGGAGAATCAGGCAAGCCCTTAGCCAGCCATAAAGACTAACTGGGCATGGGCCAATTCAAGCTCTAGCCAGGTAGGCAGTACACTTGGGCAGCCCACCTAGAACCACCTGGGCTTAATTCAGTCAACGGGGTCTAGCAATACCTTCGACCGTGCCTCCCAGGTACAGGCCCCAACTGCCCTGGCCTTGAGCCCCTCTGCCCTGCTTCCCCTTCAGCTCCTGTCCAGTGCCAGGGTCTCTCTGGCCTTAGGCCACCAAGTGTGGGTGTGCAGTCCCACGAGGGTGCCGGGTTCAGTGACTGTTAAAACCTGAAACTTCTTCCGTCCTTTATAAAAGCCCACTTGGATCACACACCAGACTTCGGTTTGACTTCTTTCTTGTGCGAAGCCAAGAACCGAGGTATGTCCCACCCGAGAAATCGAACATATATATAATTATTTATTTTGAGGTCACACTTAATCAGACCCCTAACTTATGAACACATTCTTATAACTTGATACTTGCCCTCATGAAGATATAAGTGCTATAGCTAAGTGTGGTAAAGAAATCAGATGGTGCCTAGTTATCAGAAAGAATAGTGTCTGGGGTCTTTATGTCCTGTCTTAAAACAAGCAGCCATCTAAGCAACATGTCAGCCAAGTCCACACAGAAGAAGCACACCAGCCTGTGTGATCCAAGGACCATAAATAATAAAATAGGTGCATAAGCAAATGTAGTGAAGAAAGCTGATAGTGCCTGGCTATTAAAAGATATAGCATCTGTGGTCTTAAAGGCTTGAAGATAAACAAGTGGCCATTTAGCTGAGAAGCAACAAAGCCCACATGGAAGAAGCACACCAGCCT